TCTCTCGGTAAGTGGGGGGCCGAGCCGCCTCGGGGTGGCGGGCGGGCGGGCGTGTTGAAAAACAGAAAACAGAAAACAGCGGGGGGCCAGGGCCCCCACTACGATTAGACACACGCACCTGGCTCCTGGGACAAGGCGAGAACGCGCAGCATGTGCAGTACCGTTCAGCGGAGGGGGGGGGGGGGAGCCGAGGGGGCGACGTCCCGACACGGCAGCTTGGAGCTGACCCCGGGAGAGAGAGAGACGAGCGATGGCACGCCCCCAATGACCCTAGACAGACATGACGAGCCGACAGCGATGCAGCGGCAGCGAAGGCGGCGAGGAGAGTCCGCGCTGCAGAGCTCCGCCGGGCGGCAGCAGAGACATCGGCGGACGGGGGAGCACGGGACACGTCGGCATAGGAGCCAGGGTGGTGGGAGAGTTGAGTCAGGTGCAGCAGCACCGTCTCGGCAGCGAGGCCGACGATGGCGACGGCGGCGACGTAGGCGAGACGGTGGCGAGGGTGGCGACGGTCACGATGAAGGTGGCTTGACGAAATGCAAATGGATGACGCCATCGCGCAACATGACATCCTCGATGTCGTCGTCCTCTAGGCGGCGCGCAGCGCCGCTCTCGCAGGCTGTTTTTGACGGTTTCTACACTTTGTTTTTGTTTTCAGTCTAGGGGGCCCGACCCCCTCAGAGGCGGCGGGCGGGCGCCCACTTACCGAGAGATCAAAAACGCTCGCTCGGCCCAACGCGCTACGCGCAAGCGGTCCTTTTGCGCGCGCCGCCGTCGGTGAGTCGCCGGTGTGACGTGTATGTGTTGGACGCCGGCGGTGTGTATGGCACTCTTACTTTTCGAGTGCCATAGCAGCAGGGATTGCGCATATGGGTGGGATAGAGAAGGGGGAATTGTGCGAGTGGGAGACGCGGCGTGGGTCGGAGGAAGAGCACGGACACGCAATCGACGCACTCACCTCCACTGCCCCTTCACATCGAACGGCCTCCGATGTGTTATGTCAGGCGAGGGGCAGCGCTGTCCCCCTCAGTCGTACTTGTCAAAGATGAGGCATGCGTTGGTGCCGCCGAAGCCGAACGAGTTCGACATGACGCGCTGCACCTGCAACGCCAAACGATTCTGTGACACAGAGGGGGTGAGCAAGGGGGCGACGTGACACACGCGTTACCGGCATCTCCTCGCGTTTCCGCAATATGTTCATGCCCTCCGCCTCGGGGACGAGCTCTTTGATGTTGGCCGACTCGGCGAGGAAGCCTGGCGCGAAGCCGGGCTAGGCGTGAGACCAGAGGTGTGACGGTGGGGCGTGGTCGAG